TTACCATTGGGCTTGACTGGGCTGCAGCCCAGGGGCCCCGCCTTAACCCGTTTACATTTGTTCAGTTATGTGCCAGTCAGAAATTATTAGTCGCATTTCAACAGCGCGCACAGGCCAGCCGGGGCTAACAACTTCCAGCTTCCAACTACGACATTGAAGCCATAATCAAACAGCATAAACTGGAATTTGTGATTTTTTTTCACATAGAAAAAGGACACGCGTATTAAATCATGTCTGCGCTGCGCCGAATCACCGATTAATTTGTGATCACATGGCTACTTTAAACGGTTCCATTAAGCCTTTAGCCCAAAAGAGCGCACATTTACTTATGCGTTCTGAAGGCAGTGTATGGATCAACAAGGGATTATCTGAGGACATGGGCATGACGCAAGCAGGAGGGTTGAGGCTATATGTGATACAGCGGCGTCATTTTTGTCACGCAACAGCTGGAAAACAGCGGTTGGACGCAAAGACCCTTTCGGCGTGACAGAACTCAGCAAAGCAGTAGCTGAATTTTTTAAAGTTAACTTTCAAAATGTAGTGTTTTGTTTCAGTTCTTTGTAGTTGATTGTCCACTTCATCCAGCACAGTTTGGTCTCTGTGTACTTGTTTGTTTTACTGACTAACAAATGTAGATTCTACAGCATATAATACTTCAGCTTCATTCATCGCACCAAAAGATAAACTGCAGTGCTTTACAACTATAGGACAGGAAGAGCTAAATAAACTTATCACTGCATCTAAACCAACAACATGCCTGTTAGATCCTGTACCCACTAAATTACTAAAAGAGTTGTTACCTGTAGCAGAAGAAACACTTCTCAATATTATTAACTCGTCATTGTCTTTAGGTCACTTTTCCCTTACATTTCTGCCATATGTACATTAACTGACAGTCACCACTGATAAGCTACCACTAAATATTGTAGAAACTTAATTTGCTGTAAAGTTGCTTTGCAACGATTTGTATCGTGAAAAGCGCTATACAAATAAACTTGAATTGAAAACTTGAATTGAATTGACTGAGAAACCGCTTCAGACGATTCAACATAGGCAATGAACCAGCTCCTGTAAGGCTAAAAGTAGTCTAATGTTAGTGTTTAATGTATTAACTATGCTTTTTAAGACAAGCACCAGATATGGGTGTCATGTCATAAAATATTTATCTGACTGAATTTATCTTTAACATGATCACAGTTTAATAAAAACATTATAAATGAGCATATTTAAAAAAAAAAAATAAAAAAAAAAAGTCCTCTTTTCAGATAAAAGTAACTTTTGCATTTCATTTGGAAATCAAGGTCTGGAGTCTGGAGGAAGACTGGAGAGGCACAGAATACAAGCTGCTTGAATTCCAGTGTGAAGTTTCCGAAGTCAGTGATGATTTGGGGTGCTGTGACGTCTGCTGGTGTTTGTCTATTGTGTTTTATTAAGTCCAAAGTCAATGCAGCAATCTACTAGGAGATTTTGGAGTACTTTATGCTTCCATCTGCTGACAAATTCTATGGAGATGCTGATTTCCTTTTCCAGTAGGACTTTAGCACCTGCCCACAGTGCCAAAACCACTTCCAGGTGGTTTGCTGACCATAATAATACTTGGCCAGCCAACATGCCTGACCTGAACCCCATATGGAATCTGTGGGATATTTTAAAGGGAAAGATGAGAAACAGTCGATCCAACAATACAGACGAGCTGGAGGCTCAATAGTGCCTCAGCAGTGCCACAGGCTGATCGCTTCCATGCCACACCTCACTGATGCTGTCATTTGTGCTAAAGGAGCCCCAACCAAGTACTGAGTGCATAAATGAACATACTTTAAAGAACTTGAACGTTTCAGTTTTGCAAATCCTTTTTTTATTGATCTTAGGAAATATTCTAATATTGAGATACCAGATTTGAGTTTCATGAGCTGTAAGCTCTAATCATCAAAA